GTAGGAAGAGTGAGGAAGGTGGTGAAGGTAAAGAAGGTAAGGGGAATTCTAGGAACGAAAATATATGTGAGGGCATTGAGCAAGGAAAATAAGTGGAACATTTGGGGAAATTTGAAATGTTCAGTGCGGAAAAAATGAGGAGTAGAAGATAGTTTACAAAACAACAGAAATAAGATGCCTTCTCCCTTCTCATCAGGTGAGATGAATCAAATTTAGAGAACAAAAAAGAACTTATAAATAGTTATTTGTTCCGAATTTGTAATAAGTCACACCTTATTGAGGCTGCAGTAAATTCTTGGCATAAATTCAACAATGTTGTGTAATAAGTACAAGAGGATTTACATAGACAGTTTCTAGGGAACAGGAGATGTCTAACAATCTAAGTCTAATCTGAAAAATGCCACCTCACTAAAGCATTGCATTTTAGCACAAAACTTTGAAGAAAGAACTTTCCATGTGGATTGTGATCCTCCTTATTGTTTTGTGCATGCACAAACTGCAAAAAGGCAAAATAATTGTGCTGGGAAGAGTAAGGATCAAAGACGCTTGGCCAAGCTTGGCCAAATGTGTGTTGGAAATCTCCCCTGCAGCTAAAAAACCTAAGTGTGAGCCCTGCAGCTGCCATTTACTGCCCATTGAGCCCTTGAGAAAGTCCTTTAAGTCCTCTGAGCCCCAGTTCCACGAAATGGGCACATCAATGCCCACCCACCCTGCTCCCCTGCTCTGTCTCATGAGACTGTCAGGAGAGATCAATGAGCTACTTTGTGTGGAGAAACTTTGTAAAGATTAGAGCACAATAGTGATGCAAGGGTTATTATTACTAATAATAAACAAGAAGAATGTGTGACAATAACCAGAATTTCCTGTTGAGACAACAATTTCATGAAACTATTAAGAAAGGTAGGATGTTTTTTCAATTCCACAATGAGAGTTATGCACTAGTATTGTTTCAATATTCTCCAGGGAATAAAGGGTTTCGTGGCGATAAATAAGGAATGAGTCAGGTTGTCTGAAAGATTCTTTTTCTCTTTAGAATCATTTCAATAGGTTTTTGTGCCTTTCCCCGATTTTTCCAGCCAATCTGCCATGACGGATGAGAATTGGGTATCGGCAATATGATGTCTTCTTTTAAAGAGTGTATCTTTCCATATGCAAATACTCATAATTCAGTGCTGTGAGTTTCCTCCTCCAAACCCCGGGCAGCCCTCAGGCACAGTGCTGGAGCACAGTAGGACATCTGTCTCATCAATAACCTCAGGAGTTTCTTCCACTTACCAAGAAAAGAGGAAAATGCATCCTTGAAACCTAACCACTCTGCAGGAATCCCTTTATTCCTCTCTATCAGCTTAGGACAAGAGGCTTTCATGTAGATACCAGCTGGCATCTGTAAATTTGTCAAACGAATGTGGGCAAGATCCTCTGGAGGAGGCCCGCTGCCCTTCAGAAATGTAACACAAGGATTCTTTCTTGTTGGACTGAGGCCTGCTGGTGATTTTGATGACATTTGGGCTGTCAGTTTCATTTCATGTCATCAGATACAGCAGCCAACTGCCCTTCCTCATATCCTGCCACTAAGAGTTCTGATCCTCAATGGTGATCCAAAGTCGTCTTCTCCTAAATTTCTACTAAAATAACCAAACTACTGTAATAATGGGAAAAGGCTGCATTGTCAGTGGAAACTTGGAAAGGGTTCCCTCTTTTGCCAGAATTTTACAGCATTTCGTGTGTGTGTGTGTGTGTGTGTGTGTGTGTGTGAGTGACAGAGTCTCACTCTGTTGCCCAGGCTGGAGTGCAGTGGAGGGATCTCGGCTCACAGCAACCTCTGCCTCTTGGGTTCAAGTGATTCTCCTGCCTCAGCCTCCCAAGTAGCTGAGAGTACAGGTGCCTGCCACCACACCTGGGTAATTTTTTGTATTTGTCCAGACTGGTCTCAAACTCCTGAGCTCAGGCAATCCACCAGCCTCGGCCTCGCAAGGGACTGAGATTACAGGCATGAGCCACCATGCCCAGCCAGGAATTTTACAACATTTCTCAAATTTCAATGTGCACACGGATTACCTGGGAATCTTGTTAAAATGCAGATTCAGTAGGTCTGGGGTGGGGATCCAAGAATTTTCATTTCTAACAAACTCTCAGGTGATACCAATACCACTGGTCCCTGGATCACACTTTGGAGAGCAAGAAATCAGAAGACAAACTTAAGCAATTCCCCCAGTACTCAGAATAAATTATTAAGGAGACAAAAATGATGAAAGGAAGGTTGAGGAGAGAGCCATGAGCTACAATGGAGCATCTATGTAAGGAAGTGAACAGAGGAGATACAGAAAAAAAGATTGGGGTTGTATGTATGTTTCAACTTTAGGAAAACCTTAGTATAATTCATTATCTCAATATAGCAAAGCAAAAATGCCATATAATTATTTTGATAGATAACAAAAAAAATCTGAGAAAATTTAACATTTCATTATCATCGTCATTGATGATGCATTTTCTTAAAGTGACAAATGTACTCTATGTAAAATCAAATCCAGCAAGAAGCTTACTGGCGAAATACCAGCAGCAGTCCTGTTTGCATCAGTAACCAGAAGAATGTCCACTGTCATCAGTGTTATTAACACCGTCCTGCAAATGCTAATTCAGACAACCAAATATAAAAATGAAATTAGGGGTGATTTAGTTGGGATCATGTTCAGCCTCATGTAATCATGGCTTAAATAAAATACAAGTATCTTCCACTCTCGCCTAAGTTAGAGGGAGCTTTTGTAGCTCAAGGACACCAAAGACGCAGGCCTTTGTTGTTCTCTCTTCAGTCATCTCAGAGGTGGCTCTTGTCCTTAGGATCCAAGGTGGCAGTTAGAGCTGGTCTAAGGATGATGTAGCTGTCATAAACATTTGGTGTCTCAGGCCTCATGAATATGTAGTGTTTCCTTGGTCCTTCCACCCCGTCTCATCTCTGTTCAGCCCATGTAGGCTCGGCCAACTTTATCTATCACATGTCACACAGCTACTGGCTTCTAATTGTTTGCTAAGACAGAATTTAAAACTCTTAAATAATGCAGCAATGCACATTACACAAAAGAAGCATATTATATTAACAAAGCTAAGCTAGAATAATAAACACATGGCAACGACTAGAGAATTTTAATATGAGTGATAATATGAACTTATCCTAACAAAATTAAATTATATCATAAAGGGGCAAGAAATTTAACAGTATGTTAGCAGCTGAAGAAAAGACAGACCAATGCAGGAAAGAAAGTACAGCAGTAGTCCCAGCCATATGTCAAAAGTAGGATATGGTAATGCTGTTGTTTCCAGGTCAATGAGGAAAAAATGTGTGGCAGTGCAACTTGATAACCATATGAGAAAAAATAAAAGTAGATACCTACCTCACACCACTGACACATTCCAGAAGAATTAAAGTTGTAAACATAAAAAGGAAACCATGAAAGTATGGTTTAAATACACGCACAGGAAAATATGTACATGTATTTAAATAACATTGGACAGGGAAAAGACTTTTAAACCTGCCAGCAAAGATGGAACAAAAAATGAAAACATCAAAGGTTTTATTCTTAATTTTAAAAGTCTGCATCATTCTTAAAAGGCCAAAATTGAACTGGACTAATGAAGAAGAGAGGACCTGGAACAGACCTAGCTAGACTAGCCCAGCCCTCTATCCATTCTACTAAGTAGAGGTTGGTAGATCACACCAAGCTCTCATGTATGCTACTGGAAGGTTGATAGGCATATGTAATTTTTTTTCTTGTTTCCATGGCTTTATGGGTAAATATGCTCTAGAAAAGAATGATCAATCTTGTTGCTTCTGCTTCTAAGTCAGTGGAATGAAGAGCTATGTCCAAGGACACTCCAAACTGTCCTTGAAAGAGACTGCTGCTGTATCCATCTATCATGCATAGACCCAGCCATAAGCACAAGATCTGTAGTCAGCTGGTTCTTTGGGCTTAAACCATAGGCTGATTTCTTTTTTGTTGTTGTTTTTTGTTTGTTTCTTTGTTTGTTTGGGGGTTTTTTATATGTATACTTTAAGTTCTAGGATACATGTGCAGAACGTGAATGTTTGTTATGTAGGTGCCATGCTACCTGCCATGGTGGTTTGCTGCACCCATCAATCCGTCATCTACATTAGGTATTTCTCCTAATGCTATCCTTTCCCCAGCACCCCAGTCCCTGACAGCCCCCAGTGTGTAATGTTCCCCTCCCTGTGTCCAAGTATTCTTACTGTTCAATTCCCACTTATGAGTGAGAACATGTGGTGTTTGGTTTTCTGTTTCTGTGTTAGTTTGCTGAGAATGATGGTTTCCAGCTTCATCCATGTCCCTGCGAAGGACATGAACTCATTCTTTTTTATGTCTGCATAGTATTCCATGGTGTATATGTGCCACATTTTCTTTATCCAGTCTATCATTGATGGGCATTTGTGTTGGTTCCAAGTCTTTGCTATTGTGAACAGTGCCATAATAAACATATGTGTGCATGTGTCTTTATAGTAACACGAGTTATAATCCTTTGGGTATATATCCAGTAATGAGATTGCTGGGTCAAATGGTATTTCTCATTCTAGATCCTTGAGGAATCACCACACTGTCTTCCACAATGGTTGAACTAATTTACACTCCCACCAACAGTGTAAAAGCATTCCTAATTCTCCACATCCACTCCAGCATCTGTTGTTTCAACCATAGGCTGATTTCTTTGTTTTTTTTTGAGACTGAGTTTCACTCTGTCACCCAGGTTGAAGGGCAGTGACACAATCTCAGTTCACTGCAATCTCTCACTTCTGGGTTCCTGCCATTCTCCTGCCTCAGCCTTCTGAGTACTTGGGACTACAGGCGACTGTCACCACGCCCAGCTAATTTTTTGTATTTTTAGTAGAGATGGGATTTCACCGTGTTAGCCAGGATGGTCTTGATCTCCTGACCTCATGATCTGCCTGCCTTGGCCTCCCAAAGTGCTAGGATTACAGGTGTGAGCCACAGTGCCTGGCCTGGCTGATTTATTTTTCAGCACTTATTACTGAGCCACTGCCATGAATGATGCATCACCCCACCTGAATACAGAAGTTCCCACAAATGGTGTGTGGCTTAGAATCCATTGGATTGGTCTCCCCAGGTGTCACTCGGCCTGTCTTCACCACATTCAGCCCCTCCCAGACCATGGCCAAGACAGGCCCTGATTTCCTGTACTTCGCCAGCCTGGGGAAGAATGAGCGGTCTTTACAGTGAATGTAGTGCTGCTTCGGGTGTTCTCAGAGGCCCAGAGGAACTTCATGGCCATGAGGTGGAATCTCTTCTGCTCAAAGCGCTCGATGATCTTGCCAGCCAGGCCACGCTGCACACTGTCTGGCTTGATGGTGATGAAGGTGCACTCAGGTTGGCCATGGTCCAGGAAGCTGGTTGGGCCAGGTGGCAGCTGCACTGTGCTGCGGGAGCCTGTAATTTTTAATTGTTGAGAAAAATATATGGTCAGCACAAATGAACCTTAAAAGTATTAGGCAAAATGAAAGAAGCCAGACCCAGGAGGCTACATGTTGTATGATTCCATTTATATGAAAAGTCCGGAATAAGCAAATCCACAGAGACAAAAGTGAATTAGTGGTTGCCAAGGGCGCAGGGGAGAGGGGAGTGGGAAGTGACTGCTAACATACACAAGATACCTTTTTTTTTTCTTTTTTTTGAGGCGGAGTCTTGATCTGTCACCCAGGCTGCAGTGCAGTGGCGCAATCTCAGCTCACTGTAACCTCTGCCTCCCGGGTTCAACTGGTTCTCCTGCCTCAGCCTCCTGAGCAGCTGGGACTACAGGTACGTGCCACTACAACCAGCTATTTTTTTTTTTCTTTTTTTAGTGGAGACAGGGTTTCACCATATTGGCCAGGCTGGTCTCAAACTCCTGACCTCGTGATCCACCTGCCTTGGCCTCCCAAAGTGCTGGGATTATAGGTGTGAGCCACCGCACCTGGCCTCAAGATATCTTTTGGAGTGATGAGACTATTCAGGAATTAGACAGCAGAGATGATTGCAGAACTTTGGGAATATACTAAAAACCAGTGAATTAGATACTCGAAAAGGGCAAATTGTACGGTGTGTGAATTATCTGTCAATTTTTTTCAAAAAAATATGTGCTGCAAGTCACTTCTGAGACTGGGCTTCAGTTCTTCTCAACTGACCCTGCTGTTGTCTCTATAAAATAGTGAGTCAAAAGAACACCCTTCAGGTTCTTAAAGCACAGTACCTGAGCAAGACCCAAGCAAGGAATCTTTAAGTCCTGATGGCCAGGGTGGATGGGCCAGGAACGTGCTTTCCCCCAATAGGATGCAGGTTCCAGACAGCAGACAGGGCCTCTCCCGTTTGAATAAACCGCCCTGTACACCCACCATCCTGGTTAGGTCTAGCCATGCATCCTCCAAACAACTCAAAAATGTCTGCTTTTAGTTTGCAATTTTCAGCAAACATGTACTGAATCTCCAGTGAGTGGATTTGATCGTCTGTGGTTTCAGAGCATTTCTGAGCTTTTGGTTCCTAAACCATGAGCTTGACCTCACGAGGACTGGGATCCTCTCCCAGAACTCCCTCCCCATCACTTTCCAGCAATTTGTTTCAGCTGGTCTTTCGTTTATCTGGTTCCATGGAAGTGACAGACAGGGCATATCACAGCCGGAAGGAGCTTACAGATTAATCAGTCCAACCTCCCCAACTCCAGCCTCCTATGATCCCCATTTAATGGATGAGGTTCAGAGAGGGGAAAGAGCCTTCCTACATCACCCAACAAATAAGTGAGGAAACTAAAATTAAATTTCTGTGTCCCAGTCCCCAAAGCACATGTGGTTTTTACATTCAATTATTTCTGTTGCAATATTGGCCTTAATACTGGCTTCCATTTCCAATTAAATAATCTCTACACTGTGAACACCAAATGGACTGGCACAAGACCAGCACCAAGGCAAGGGTCTTAACCCTTTCGGGATGCTCCTGACAATATTACAGTTGGAAAGGCATGCTCAGGACAGACCCCTTTCTCCGACTTACCTATGATTAAGTAAACTTAGCCTTGTTCACAGCAGCAGATAGAATTGGTAGAAGGAACCCAACTATTTGCAAAGCAAATTCTGTGTTCTCATAGAATATTATGCTGGAAAGGAAGCATCTCTCCTCACCATCAGTGCAGCAATTTATTCTATGATGTCAGATGTGCTTTCATTCATTCATTCATTCATTCATTTATTCATTCATTCATTTAATCAACCAACACTTCCTAAACATCTACAATGTACCTGACCCTGTGCTGGACACTGGGACATGGAAATGAGTGAAGCATAAAATTTGCCTTCAAAGAGCTTCCAGTCTACTGGGAGATGTTCCTGTAATGACCAGCCCTGGCTGAGGGGAAGATGAGAGGCAGAGAGTTTATACAGAGCATGATGGAGACACAGGAGGGCCCATGATTCTGGTTTGGGAGTCAGGGAAGGCTTCACAGTGTTGATGACACATCATAAGCTAGATCTTGAATGTTTTCAGTGGCTGAGGAAAAGGGAAAGCTTTTTAGAGATAAGAAACAACAGCACAAAGCATGAAAGTGCATGGCACATTTGGAAAGGAAAGGAGACCAGAGTTTCTGGAACAAGGTGCCTGGAGCTATGCTACCTTGGTCCGTTCCCATTTGCGTCTCCAATAAAATATGGGGTTTTTGGAGATGAGGCCAGGGACTGTGCATTATCCCCTTCTGAATTTACAGCATCTGGCAAAGTGCCCAGCACCTAGTCAAAGCTCAGCAAGTTTTCTCTAAGTGAATGAATTTTCTTTCTCTAAGAGTTAACATGTACTAAGCACTGAGTACAGCTGGCCCTCCATATTGCAGGTTCTGCATCTGTGAATTCAACCAACTGTGGATTGAAAATATTCAGCGGAAAAAAAAGGATGGTGTCTTCTTTACTGAACATGTACAGACTCTTTTTCTTGTCATTATTTCCTAAACAATACAGTATAACAACTATTTACATAGCATTCATGTTGTGTTTGCTATTATAAGCAATCTAGAGATGATTTAAAGCATCTAGGGGATGTGCACAGGTTCTATGCAAACACTACACAATTTTATATCAGGGACTTAAGCATCCTCAAATGTTGGTATTCCTGGAGGGGTCCTGGAACCAATGCCCCATGGATACTGAGGGACGAAGGTATACAGAGGACATTGTACAGAGCGCTTCACACATATCAAATAATGTAAAGCTCACATACATCTTATGAATTTGGTATTATTAGTAATATTAATATTATCCCCCTTTAACAGATGAGGTGGCAAAGACACAGAGGTATAAAATAATTTGTCCAAGATCGCACAACTAGGAAGAAGCCAATCTGGTCTTTCAGGCTAGATCTCTGCCGGGCTGCGAATGTACTCCCCTCTGTGTACTGAATTTCTACCTTCCCACTATTCTGTAAGCTCCCTGGGGGCAGGGACAACGTCTGTTTCTAGTCCCTGGAGTTTGCTCTCATAAACACTTCCCTGTCGCTGTAGTAGAGATGAACAATGGGAGAGGGGCAGCAGGGGGCCAGATGGTGAAGGGTCTTGACCACCAGCCTCAGGATTCTGAACTCGGTCTTAGAGATGACAGAACTTTTAGCATAAGCCAACAAATCTCTCAGGAGGTATGTGCCCAGCGTCTTTTCAATCTTAGCGTGGAAATGAGCCTCTCAGTGGACTTTGAAACTAGGACAGACTTGCTGGGAAGGGGAAAGTTGTAACCCAAAGGTCCCTGTGCTCTGCATCAAGGTGGACACAGCCAGATATCAGGGAAGTGGTGAGCAGGGCAAAAGCCCCAATGGGTTAAGGCTTTCTCTGTGTGATAGTCTCAGACATCCGGCTCTTTTCTATGCTCTAAATTTGGAACAACTAGATAGCCACTTCCTCCTAATCAAGATAAGCCCAGGGACCAGGATCCAGGCAATTGTGCTAGGTCATTTAATTGCCTTCCTCTTGGAAACCTTGAGCCAGTCATAGGGAAATTCTCTGACCACGGCAAAGAATAAAGGTCAATGCCTTGTCGCATCCTGATGCCTTTTACAGACCCCAGAGCCACAGGAGAAATCAATTCCAGTCAAAGGAGTTGTAAAACTTTTTTTTTTTTTTAAAGGGGAGCCAGTATTTTAAGATTTTCCAAGTCATGGAAAAATACACACTAAGAACATGAAAACAACACAAAGTGTCTCATGAAATCTAATCCTCATTGTTGTCCAAACAAGGCCAGGCCAATTTAATAAGGAGGTATGTTCTTTAACCCACCATAAAATGATCTGTTATGAAGTATTAGTGGGAAAAATACTATTACAAGTTATTCCCATTTTTCCTGGCTGCTCACAATTTTGCTATTAACTATGCTTTTCTTTTCAAAGCTTTTTTTTTCTGACTACAAAAGCAACACATATTCATTGTGGGCATTTTGGCAAATAAAGAGAACAAGAAATAAGTAAAAGTCACTGCAACCCACTATCAACAAGTGTGGTTTGGTTTTGGTTTTTTTTCCCAAAAATTAAGATTATACTGCACATAGAATTTTAAATTGTTTTCACTTAGTATTTATCAATAGCATAATCCTATATGCCCAATATTCTTTGAATATGTCATTTTTATCAATTATATCAGATTTCTCAGTGTGGATGTGCCATAATTAAGCTAATCACCATCCTGTGGACACTTAGGTTGATTCCAGTTTTATGAGTTTATAAATGAATGTGAGGAATGTCCTTACATAAATATCTTTGTCCTAATTTTTAAGAGTTTCCTTAGGAAGTGGAATTACTAAACAATGGGATATGAAAATGTAAGCTTCACGATGTATTGTCAAATTGTCTTACATTTGTTCAACAAATTTTAATTGAGTGCCCAAGTGCCAGGCATGGTTCTGGGCACTGGAGATCCAGGGGTGAACACAGAGACAAACTCTCTGCCCCAAAGGGCCTTATTCAAATGGTGGTACTAACTTATTTCCCTACCAGCTGTGTATCAGAATGCCTGGCTCCTGATCTCCTCATCAGCATCACGACCTTTTAACAACAATAAATCTTGGACTGGGAGCAGTGACTCACTCCAACAACTCAGGAGGTTGAGGCAGGAGCATCACTTGAAGCCACGTGATATGGTGTGGCTCTGTGTCCCCCACCAAATCTCATCTCGACTTGTAATCCTCAGGTGTCAGAGGAGGGACCTGGTGGGAAATGATTGGATCATGGGGGCAGTTTCCCCCATGATGTTCTCATGAGAGTGAGTGAGTTCTCATGAGAGTGAGTGAGTTCTTATGAGAAATGATGGTTTTAAAGTGTGTCACCTCCCCCCTTGCTCTCTTTCTCTCTCCTGCCACTATGTAAAATATACCTTGCTTCCCCTTCACCTTCGCCATGATTGTAAGTTTCCTGAGGCCTCCCCAGCCGTGCAG